TAGTTCAATCTGTATTTTCTGAGTATCAAGCAATTAACATATATTAACTTATAAAGAAAAAATGTTAGAAATAAAATATAGAGAAGACAAAATGAGGAACTGATTTGTAGAGGAAAAAGTTGACTTTGGAGTGATAAAAAATTTTTTAAAGAGGGTGATTGACCAAATGGACTCAGAGGAAAAAGCTGAGTGACCTTAAGGATGGTGCTTTTAAGCAGTTAAGCTCCTGAACAGACTTTCTCCATTAGAGGGCGACATCTCCTGCATCATCAACCAACAATCTTGTCACAATATCTGACCTAGAAAGATTATAGGTAGAGAGGCAATTTAGAGATTTCTTTTGTTGCATAGATGTTACATTTTCTACCTAAAATGCTATAGTTTATTTGGAAGAATGCTGATATTAAAGGGGAATAGATAAGGAATTTGGAATAGAAGATTAAAAAAGAAGAAGACATTCAGGAAGGTTTATGGATTCATGGCATGAATAGAGTTCGGTTTGATGTGGTATAGTTGAGTACAGAGGAATCCTGCTGCAGGATGCAGTATGGCTTCATGTCCCTGTAGCCAGACACATGAACATATATGTTGGGAACATGAAGGACCAAAGTATGTGTTTCCTGTAAAGATCTGGACTTGGCTCCTCCAGTCAAAGGCAGTTGGTGTTGGTCCCATTTGTCATTTACTATTTTCAGACTTTGGTAAGGTACACTGGAGGGGAACAGGAGTGGGGTTGTATGTGACACTTATCAAACCTCCGTGCAGTAAGAGGGAGGGTGGCTTAGGAAAATCCTCTGCAATTCTTCCTTATCTTGATAATATTCAAACCAAAGCTTCAGTTCTATGGAACCTCAGATCTAGTGTTGTTTCCAAGTAAAGATGTCACATAGCTATAAAGAAATAATTATTATAAAACTAGAAAAATTAGTTTAATGAGTAAATCCTAAGATGTTTTGCCATTTTAACTTGTGTGTAAAATTTCAAGCTCTCATTGGTCAGATTATATTATAAAACTGAAAATATTCTTGCAGTGTTTTAGAGGGTCCTGATTAGGAGGAGGACTATCATGTGAAAGGAGGAGTAGACAGCAATTTGTTTTTAACTGTCTGTAATGTCACTTGAGCATCTTGAACCCCGGTTGTTGTAGGGAGCATCAATGGCTTCTCATTGGTCCAGCAGACAAGAGGTGAAGAGTCTTGGGCAGAGACTACTAAGTGGCTTATTGTGGCTGTTTAGAGGCTGTATTTCCTGGAAAGCTGAGTTAATGGTGAAATGGGATGCCTTTTCCTTTTCTGTCCCTTTTTGTGTGATATTTTTGGTGGTTAACTCAAGGTTGAAAGAGACCAAAATAAAAACCTGAAAATAAAAGCTGCAAGTACAACTCTATTTGGCCCATGCCAAACAGAAAAGGAAACCAGACTTCTGGCTTTTCAACACCAATTAGAGTGGGTGCTGGGGAAGATTCTTCTGAGTGGGCACTTCTGGAGAAATTCATGGCATGTAATCAAGGAATACTGTGACCATAAACCTAGACACTGATTTTTAAAGAAAGCTTCATGGTTTGCATTTTCATTTCTCTTCCTAGTTTTAGCAGTAAGTGCTCCTTTAAAAATTCACTCCACCACCTGTTCTTCTTTAGCCCAGCCCTAGCTAATCCTGATCTCTTTTTTGTACAGTGGGAACTTCTCCTTCTGCCCACAAACACATTCTGATCTACTTCATCCTTTAAAACCAATGACCTACTCAAACCAGAAAACCTCCAGCTCTTCTTACCTCCTAACTTAAAGTCTAAATTCGCTAAAAGTATAGTCTGAATCTTCTTCTGTTGCTTCACTTCTCATTTTCCCATCAATCATTTGCAAACTAGCTTTCATGTTCATCTCTCATCTGAAGGCAAAAACCACCATGGACCGCTGAGCTTCACTCTCCCTGAGCACTAAGCCATTTGACATCCTGATTTTTCCTCTTTCTTGACATTCTCATGCCTCAACTTAAGCTTTTTCTCACTCCTTCTTGATGGCTCCATTTTCTCCCCATCCTCAAAAGCTAGTGTTTTCCTGGTTCTGTTTCTTCTCTGGCCTTGGCATAAGTAGAGTGATATTTCTTCATTTCTGGTGCTATGCTAAAACCAGGGACAATAGCATGACTGAAACATCACCATGTATTAGGGATCCTCAAGCACATTACTCACATCTCCAAGCCTGATTTCTCATACAAAAGGGATATCAGAAATACCTGAGGTCCAGGTCTGCGTCTCCAACTTTCTATGGTACATCCCTAGCTGCAAACCCAATGTGACTAAAAGGAAATGCCCCAACACCCTTTCCTTTTCCCTGCCCCTCTCTCAATTATGCCTCCCATGGTTCGTAGCAGGAACATTCCTCTAGTCTACACTCCAGCTAGACACCTGGGAATCATCTTTTGTCTCCCTTTCCCTCAACTCTTGCATTCAGTAAGTCTCCATGTCTATTGTTTGCCTGTCCGAAATCCTGCTTTAGGGCTTGCATGTCTTTACCACCCTGTGTGGATCGCTTCATTTCCCACCTGGCAATTACTACCGTAGCCTCTGTTCTCCTTTCCTGTAAGTTCTATGCCAACCCCAGATCCATCCTCCACAATGCTGCCAGAGGGCCATCTGAAAATACCAACCTGCTCACATCTTACTTGCTCTAAAATAATTCAGTGGTTTACCCTTGTCTACAGTACAAAGTCGATGGTTTGCAAAACACTTGCTATTTGTCCTTAACCTCCTTGTTCCACCTCACCCTGCCTCTCATCTCACCCAGGCATCTCTCATTTGAGCCACATGGATTATTTGATGTTCCCTGACAGAGGTCTCCATGCCATGGCTTCTGTTGTAGCTTCTGTTTAGGTGCTTTTCTCTTGTTCCCCCACGTGTCAACATTCTCCAGGTTGCAAAACGCGTTTCAAAGGCCTCTTCTTCCATGAGGCCTTCTTTGATCTTTCTCAGGAAGAAATAGTCACTCGCTGTTCTCTGGTGTATTCAACAGAACTTTGTTCTCCCTTCTGTTTGCTGCCTTATCAGATTGTATTCATGGATGTTTGAGAGTTATCTTATCAGCTTATTGAGCAAGAACTGCACTCAGGCATTTTGCCATCCCAATAAAGCTATCCACCATGGTCATGTGGCCAGAACTCAACAAATACATGTGACAAGAAGGTAGTAATTAAAAAAAATATATACATATATGTAAAGGGAGAAGAAAGAGAGAGGGAGAGAGCGAGTGAGTTGAAAAATGTTACCAGGTCCAGGGTTCTGTGGCATAGCCAGACTTGTGTTGGTGTGAGCGTTGAGGCAATATTTGCTCCTGGTCCCCACAGATTTCCCAGAATATCCAGCACTGTAACCAACCTCAAATCCTGTGACCCTCTGCCTAGAGTTCCCATGTGGACAGAGCTGCTGTCCCCCAGGAGTAGCACAGCCACTTTTACAGCCCCACCGTATTACAGGGTCTGGGCAGGTTTCTCACCCCCATTTGCAGCCGGAATGTCAAATCCAGTTTCAAACACAAGAGGTCTCACTTCTCCTTCACCACCTTCTTCTGAGCTATAGTGGGCTTTAATTTTAAGGTGATTAAAACAAACAAACAAATCACGCATAGAGGTTAACCACAAATTGCTTGCTCTGAAGCACTGGAGTAAGTTTAAATCACTCACTGGGTTCCTAGATATTGTGAAGGAACTTTCCCCACAGACATAGCACCACCATGCACAGAGATGGGCTATGCCTTTTTCTGTAGGTTTCCACAAGTGTAGGACAAGCCCTAAGGGAGACATATTTCATGTTCCCTGCAGTTTTATTCTGGTTAAAGACAAGAGGGCGATTGCTCCCAGTGTAGCATTGGTATCCCAAGAAGGAAACAAGGAAACTACCTCCTCCATAAGGACTTTCTTTCCAGTACATTCCTACTCTCAAGAACAGGCAGCCACAGCTGTGCCTGGGTAGCATTCCTTCCCACTTGTTTTTAATAATGCTTCTTTGAGAAAAGATTCCCAGCTGAGATTTTTCTTGCTTTCTATCTGTGAAAGTGTTTATAACTAGAAGATTCAACTTTTAGATTCTCTAAAGAAAATTCTTTCCTGGGAAAGGTAAGAGGTTAAAGAAGATGTAGCTAAAATTAGTTTCTTTCTTGGCTCTGCAAAAGTGATTGCAGCAATGGCAATAGTCAGAGGCAATAGCTTAACAAATGGTTTCAGAAATGAGCTCTTCACTGTGATTCGAAAGAGCTCTCCATGAATGCTATTTTATAATTACTGCCTGATTCTTAGGGGGCACTTTAAGGCTTGAGTGTCTCCAGGTTTCATTCCTCAGGTGAGCCTTCTGCTTAACTGTGCTCCAATTTGACGCATTGCACTGAACTCTCACCCTACAGTTTATTTGCTGATGACTATTTAATTACACCTGGCAGTCTTCAGAAATTTCAATGATTAAGAATTAGAATACTTTGTTCTATTAATCTGCCTGGATTCCTTTTCATCTGAGGAAATCAAAATGCTGCTTGTTAATTTTCCATGTATCTGAGGAACTTGGTAGTGAGTGTTAGAAGAAAATAGTTATACCGGTGGTAATTGAGCTCTCCAAGGTCATTCTAAGGTAAAAGCAATTGGGATAAGAATGTGGAGATTTGGGTGGCCTGTTTTGCATAGCCATGGTTAACTTTGACCATGAAACTAAACCACACTGTCTGCTATTACACATGCTCACCTGGTTCCTTGCTTGATGTTGGCATAAATTGAGGAAACAGTATGTTACCAAAGTTGGCTTTTCCTGTCTTTAAAAGGCTGAGCACACAGGAAACCTGGTTCAAAGTTTTTTTTTTTTTTCACCAATTTCTAATTAATCTTTGAGCTCTTCATGCTTTTTAACAAAACAAAACAACAACAACAACAACAAAAATCCACCAAGATTAGCAGAAAAAACCTGTGGGCATGGCCTTCAGAATTTGTAATGTTGTATTTCTACTTTTCCTAAGAGAATCTCCACTGAGACTGCAGGCACTGTTGAAATGGAAGGAAAAGGAGAAGGAATGAGAGGAACAGGAATGATCTAGAGTCTGATTAATATCGCCACCAATTTCTGTATAAGAAGCAGTAATTTTCTGTTTTTTGGTAAGTAAAGGTAATACGATTCTACTAAGTTGATTGTTCTTGGAGTTGGGAAATATTGGGCAGTAGGAATGGGGGGAAGGAGAAGAAAGGTGAATATGCAAATGCATGCCTCCCCAGGATTGGCCAGATGACACACTCACCTGCTAACTGAGATAAGTATTAGGCAACGAGAAAATAAATAGAAGTAAATGCCTTCTAGAGAAATCAGACTCGCAGCCATGGTCAGAACCTAATATTTGTACTGTAATACTCAAAGGTAATTAGACCTACGTATAAAATGCAACACCACTCTTATCCTAGGAAGTGTGAAGATAGTATGTATTTTGGGAGAATTTGTTCTATTTTCAGTGCTCTGGAGGATCTCTAAAATTGTTTGGCTAAATTTAGGTTGTGTCTTTTTAATTACCATACCGCCATCACCATCCCATTGCTGCCTCTGAATGATGACTTTGTGCATTTTTCACTTAAGGGTAATGGACTGCTTTCTTAATCTAGTTCCATCATTCAATTTTGTCCCAAGGAGTTTCTTTATAGACAATTTCCATTTTAATCAGAAGTCAATGGGATTATTCCCTTTAAAGTAGACTAACTGTGGGTTTACTAGGAATTTTTTAGCAACTTTGGTCTTTATCCAATTTAACTCTCTTCTACAGTTTCTTGTAAAGTTCTTTCAAGCCCAAAGAGTGCAGAGCTCAGGGTGTAGGCAATACTCTTGAACTCCCTGTAGGAAGGTAGAGGTGGAGAGCCAGTATAAAAGGCAAGAGAATATGCTCTGAGTGGACACTGGGGAGCTGGGAATGTTTTTCTGGAATTCTGGAAGAGCCTGGGGCAAATCTTCAATATGATTCCAGTTTTGGGTTTGTAAGGTAATATTAAATAAACTACCTCCCTAATGGTAGTCTCAAAAGTCCTGATGCCACTCTGGGAAAAATGTGATTGGTCTGGAGACAGGTCCCAGGACTACCCAGCTCTACAGAAGGACCAGGAGACAGGTGAGGAGTATCTACAGGGGCATCAGCATCCAGGACCGATGGATTGGACAGCAGGCAGAGCTTTGCTTTTAGAGCTTCCAGATTATTTTTCTGGCCTTTGAAAGGGAGCAATTTAGGATGACTAGAGATCCTTCTGTGTTTAGCAAATGCTCCCTGCTTTCTGTCCAGGGACTCTTGTCCTTCCTGTCCTCTAATCCAGTGGTCTTCCATAGTTGGACTTTCTGTCCAATTATCTTCTTAGATATCCAAACTTCTCCAAGCTCCTATCTATTTCTTTCCTTTTTATCTTTTCAATGACTTTATCAAGGCGAGTCTCTTATAACAAATGGCATAGATTTAGAGTGCAGAATTTCACAAGTTTTAAGATATACATATATATCATATAAAATTTATAAATATATATATGTATATATATTTACCTAGAGAAATTATCATCTCAATCAAGACAGTGAACATTTCCTTCAACCCCAAAGTTTTGCCACTTTGTAAGCTTTCCCTCTTTTTCCCTCTATCCCCAGATAACCATTGATCTACATTCCATGATCATAGATTACTTTTCATTTTATAGGGTTTTATGTAAATAAAATAGATAAAATAGCCTTTTTTTTTTTTTTTTGGTCTCGTTTCTTTCTTGCAGCATACATATTTTCAGATTTGTTCAGATTGTGGCAGGCACCAGTGATTCCTTCTTTGTATTATTGAGGAGTAATCTAGTGTGTGGTCATACCATAGTTTATTGGCCCATTGACCAATCATTTCTTAGTTTCATAAAATCATGGTATTAAGGTCACCAGGAACTTATAGTTCACTAACCTAAGCATATTATTTATACACAGATAACTGAAACCAGAATACTATTTAAGGTTTTCCTTGGAGATTATTTAAAATTCTGATTCATACCTCATCCTGCCATTTGATTCTAGTGATGGGATGAACCCTGGAATTCTGCCCTTTTAACCACAGCCTCTGGTAATTCTAATCCAAATGTGAGATCTATGATACTTGGGATACCGAAGCAAATCATTTGAATTATTTGTTCAGGGTCATAGACGTTTTGGAGCAAAGGATGGGCTTAAATCTACAGTTCTTGATCCCTAAGCTCAGGGTTTCTTTCACTACATCATGTCAATACCAATAACACCAGACACATGGGAGCCTGACTCTCTGGTAACATAGATTGTTTTGTCTCCTAATGAAAAGGGAATGCCCCAGCTCTGGGATTCTGAGCTACTCTAATGTGTTTCCAGAAGGGGGCACTGATAACAAATCCTTTCCTTTAAGCCTGTTACCCCTTCTTCTCCCTCCCTCTCTCTGGCCTTCCTTTCTTACTTCCCTCCCTCCCTCCCTTTTGCTCCCTCTCTCCCTCCATTCCTTCCTTCGTTCCTTCCTTTTGTCTCTTTTCATCTCTCTCTTTGTTACTGTTAAGTTACAAATATGAAAAGCAACAAAGGGAAGCAACCATGGTGTGATAAATTATTTTACTGCAACAACAAAGAACCAAGTTCCCCCAGAGAAGTTTCTAGACTCTGTTGTACTTTAATAAATCTTGCCTATAGGTGCTGCCACTTACTGGCTTCTAGTCTTTCATTTTGTGAGTCAGCACTTTCTCACAGTGACCTTCTCAAAAATTTTGACATACATGGGGCTAAGCAGAAGCAAAGATACTGAAAATTTAACCAGAGTGGAAGAAACTTTGACTTTTAGGAATAACAATGACAAAAAAAAAAGTTATTCTGGTTAATATTCTTCCCCATCTCTTTTCCTTGGGGATTTGGTGAAGAAGCAGCCCAAGTTTGTATATTTTACCCTGAGGTTGTCTTCCTCCAAATAGAAAAGACTGAACTGAACCCCAACTGCTACATGGTGGCTGAGCATGCTCTATGGTACAGAGAGCTAGCTAAGCACAGATATTAAGATTGCAAAGAGCAAACATAATAAAAATATCAGATGAAAGAAAAGAGGATGGGTCCAACTCAAGCTGTCGAAAAAACATTCCTTTTTGACAGTGTGGCATTTCCCAACAATGCTTTCATGAGGAATCAAGTAATCCAAATGTGCTTGCCGCCCTTGAAGATCTAGAGAAGAAGCAAGCCTTGCCTCAGTTGATGAGATAAAATTAGACAGGGAATTGAGAACTCCAAAGCTTCCTTGGGGTGTGAGAAGAAAGTGCATTGAAAGGCCTTCCAGATTCCCCTTTATCAGGGTTGGGCATTCCGCTGTTCTCCTTAGTAGATCCTAACAGTGAGTTGCACCGACTCTTAAGTAGCCTGTGCAATCTACATTTACATTTCACATTAGTTGTGGCATGCAGGGTTTTGTCTTTGAGTTACAATACTTGGTAATGAGACAGAAGATTGGTAATTAGAAGTTTGAATCTGTGTTCATCTACTTAGTGCTTGTGAGCCTCTAGGCAAGTCATTTAACCTTTATGAGCCTATTTCCTCATCTGTAAAATGGTAATGATGATAATAATATGCACACTTGTGAGTGGTTGTAGGGATTAGAGATAATATCTATAAAGTGCCTGGTCCATAAATGGTAGTTAAAGGAATGTCAAGACATGCACACGTGAGGCATGTAGGTGATAGAAACTTTTCAACTTTTCCTATTGACCACAGGACTTTTCTAGGCTAATTAAACCTGGATCACCAGAATAGAGAGTGGTAGAGCCTACTGGATTAGGGAGCTTTTAGGTGGTGTGTCCTTACTGCTATGCATCTACCTAATGCATCTACATGTCCATTATAAAGATGGAGCTTAAGTCTTTGAAGCATGTATGAGAGTCATAAAGCTAACTGGGTGGGTGTTAAATTGAGAAGGGACTCCAATGTACTTGTGAGGCTAGCTATTTAAATGTTGCTATATTTGAAACACAAGTAGAGAATATACACATTTACAGAATGACAAATGATTCCCACAAGTTCAACAAGGAAATTAATCTTGTTACTTTATGGTCACACTTCTATGACAATACAATTTTATTTTGCCAAAATGTATATCTGTGTTTACGCACCTATGTATGTTCTTTGATGGCTTATTTCTATATCCAACCCAAAATAAATACAGTGAAAAGTGTCTTTTTACAATCCAGTTTGTTATTTCTTGCATGTGTTATGACAGAAATGCTCTCTGTGATTTCAGTTCTCGGGTAATGAGAAGCTATGATAGACATTAACAGAAGTGGCTTCAAGTGGAAAGTTCCTCCAGATTTTCTCACCGCCTCCCTCCAAATTTGATCTGCTGCAATGTTTTTAGTTTTATTATTATAGCGTTGGGGTGGAGATGTATCATATTGAGAAATAAGAGATGAAGTGCTGGAATCTATAAACGAGTAAACAGCTGTCAAGACAAATTCAGAAGTGTTCTAATGCTTGGGGAAGGTTTAAGGAGTTCATTCTTGGCATTGTTGCCTATAATCAGTAATTAGTAACACATTGAAATGATATTTGTTAAGTTCCTACATTGGAGGAAAGGACTATTGAAATTGCATTAAGCCAGTGGGAAAACATACTGCAGTATTCACTCTATAATAAATTTCAGTCCCTGAAAGTAGGTAGTTTGCCTGAAGCCAAATGTCCTGGGAATCAATAATCTCATCAGCCCAAGAAGACTTGACCCCTAGACTTAGTAGAGTGGTACAGTTGCTCAGACATCTGCCCTTGGGCACCCACCTTAGTGGAGGGAGAATATTTTTTGCTGTCTTTAAATTCAGGATAATTCAGAAATCGCCCTGCAGGTGCAGAGCTACTGTTTATCAGCCTTACAGCTGGAACCACTGCTGTCCCTGCCCTGAAGCATGTGTTGAAGCCTCTTTCCAATCAGTCAGCTCAGGTTTAATCTGGTTAATCCCACTAAGCACTGGAGTTCTTTTCCTGTCATAGCTTTTCCTGAGCCCAATAGAAGGGAGGAATGTTCAGATTCATGAGAGGTCTGTTTTCCAGCACACGGCTGCAATATCAGAAAGATGTGGCAAAAAGGAACCAATTTGTCTTCTTTCTTCTTTTGATAGAGGAGAAATATCTGCAGTTCCTTGCACTCAGGTGAAATTAGACTGTGTCTGTTTCTGCTGCCTTGTGTAACTCACTGTGAGATGTGTTATGAAAGTTATTTGATGATGATAATCAGGTATATAATCATCTTTCCATTTCCAAAAGTGCTCAGTTTGGGAAGATACTGGGCCCAAAGCTTTAAATGTGTACAACCATGTGTACAAGCGTACAAGTAAAACTTTTATTAGAAAGTTGACTTTGCCAATACCTGCCAAATTATTTTTCTATAAATCAAAACATGTGTGGAAATTAATGGCAGTCTGGGTTAGGTCAGTGGCACAAGATAGAGATAAAGGGGTGGATTCATACACATGACCAAGGTAGTTAAGGGTATGTGGGGTCAGTATTAGTTTTATAAGGCTGCCATAACAAACACAAACTTGACTTAAATCAACCGAAGTTTGCTCTTTCATAGAGGCTAGATGTTTAAAATCAAGGTGTTAGCAAAGCCATGCTCCCTCCCAAAATCCCAGATGAGAATTCTTGCCTCTTCAGCTTCCTTCCAAGTGTTCCTTGGTTTGTGACTGAATAACTCCAGCCTTTGCCCATGTCTTCATGTGGACTCCTCCTCTATCTTCTATGTAAAATTTCCCTCTTATATATACATTTTCATGGGATTTACAGACCATTCAGATAATCTAAGATGGTCTTATCTGGAAATCCTCAATTATATTTGCAAGGGCTCTTTTCCCAAGTGAGGTCACATTAGCAGATTTGTGAATAGGAGGTGGACTTCCCCCCCCCCTGAGGCCACTAATTAACTTATTACAGTTACTAAATGGACATTTTGCTTGTTTGATTAAGGAGTTTGAGTAGAGATGAATCTCAATCCCTGGCCAGAACAAATGGGAAGATTGTGGTGGTAAATATCTATGGAGGCAACTTTAGAGGGGATGCTGTTTTTGTCATTAAGTTTTGAACCTTGAGTTTAAGGTGGGGTATAGAGGAAGTAGATATGTGACTTCATTTTGTCTCATATCAACCTTGCCTTGAGATTTTTCAATCATCCTGTCAATGGCTATTCCATGAGCAGTCATGAAAACATATAAAATGCTATAGTTATTATTAGTTAGTTGGGACTGAGATTATTATATCATCTTTGTAAATTTCTGCCTTAAAAATACTTCAAGACAAATAGTATGATGTGTGAATAAAATTAATTTTTCATTTTTATCCTTGCAACAGTTAGCATTTGAAGTATCTTGATCAGGAATATACACTCCAGGCATGATTACCAAGCCCTTTAAGTATGTCTATGGAGATTTGCACATGATGATTTGTTACTTAGCATAAGAGATGTAAAAATAATTTTTAATTAATGAAATGAGTGCAGTTCAAGTCCAAGCATCTTTGCATGAAAACTTATGGGAATCTGTCAAGTTCAGCCCGGTGCCTTTGAAGAAGCCCTTAGGTGTAGAGCTCATTTGGCCCTGTGTTTCACACTTCACAGATGCCAATTGCCTGAATGTTGCCTGTTCCAACCGATAAACATCACAGTATCTCCCTGGAGTGAGCCTCTCATGTCAAGTGCTTGTGGGTGTTTCTGAAGACAGAGTGTGGAACTTTCTTGAACTTTCCAGGTTTAGTTGACTGAAGTTGTGTCTGCTTGCTTGCAAATATTTGAATATTGGCAAAATTTGGCTTCAGACTGATTTACATCTTAGCCTACTACCTACTGAAGAAGATATGGGCAAGCCCCAGAAGACTCATTTACCTCTAATCCCCAGAGGCCATTGATGTTTACCAAAAGCCTTGGGTATTTGTTGAAAGAAGATACTGGCTTGAGTAAATTTACAATAGAATCCTTCTTTGAGTCCAAATCCCTGCAAAGACTGTTGGCAGTACAACCCTAGGTGTCCAAGGAAAGGGAAGGTTATCTATGGACTTAGGTGGAGGATTGAGCAGAGTGACTTTTTCATCTATAACTTGTTCTGCCTGGAACCAGGAGTTGTATAGTCACTTCACAAAATGTGGAGCTGAATGAAGGGATCAGGTCCTCTGAGAGAAGTTCCCAAATTAAAAATGCCTACAGTGGAGTGTGGCACTATGTAGCTCCAGTGTTTGATGAATATGTGTGTGTGTAAGACACCTGGGTGAGGGCAGATAGATTTCTGAAACATGAACTCTCTGGAACTTTATATCAGATCAAAAGTTGAAGACCAAGTCATGACTACTACTTGATATTTGCTTCTGTAAATCAATAGTATTCTTGATAATTCAACTAATAGTTATTACTGGAAAAATAATAGCTTCCATTATTCCATTTGTCAAACCTGCATGATTTGAGAAAGTTACATCAATACTTCAAGAGATTAGAAACTACAAAAAGGATCAGTTCTAGTGATTTAATGCTGTCGTTGTTTCTGTATATCATTAAGTCACCACTGGGCTTATACTTCTAAAGTTTTCCATATTTTATTGCAACAAGTATAAGAAATTATTGAAGAGAGACCAATGAAAGTATTATAAATATATATTAAAGTTCTGTAAAACATATTTTGTTTCTAAGATTAAAATGTGCATATGAAAGGAAAAAATGACTTTCATAAATGAGGGAAATATGTCAGTTTTAGGGATGACTACAAAGAAAGTGAACAAGTAAGCTAAGGTAAGGTACCCACTTACTGTAACTTTTAACTGTCTTGCAAATTGATTGATTGATTGATTGATTGATTGACTTTTGCTCTGTTTTGTGAAGGAATTAAAGACTAGGCAGAAACAGGAAAAATGCTAAAGCTTTTTATTGGAATTATTTTTGTAAAGAAATTTATGTAATAACGGAAGATAATTATATGGAATTGAAAATTTGTCTAAAAGGGAAGAAGTGTCTCATAGCTACCTGAGTCTTAACTAGATTGAAACTAAACAATGGAAGAGGTTCTTAGCCAGAAAGTTTTACTTGGATGTGAAGTCAAAAAGAAGAGAACAAACCCAGTGAGAAGGTCCAATTACTTTCTTGTTATTATGGGCTCAGAATCTTAGCAGCAGCCGTCCTGTGGAGGTCAGATGGTTCTAGTCCCTCCACCCTCTTGAGCCAGTGGTCCCCAGCCCACTGCCACGTAAGGTGGTATTCAGAGCAGATCTCCCTCCCTTTGGATTTGATGGTTCCTTCTTCTGTCCTCTGGCATATATAAAATAATTCTTCTCCCTCTTTGGCCTGACAGCCTTTCAGATGTTTAAAGACAGCTTCCATCTCCCTTCCCTGTTTTAAAATAAATAGATGACCGTGGACAGTTATGAGTCTGAGGTGTAGTCTGGCAGGAGTGTTCTGGCATGGCCTCTATCCACGCTAACAAAGTGGAATGACCTAACAACCCACAGAGGAATCTCTGAGGTACATTTGTCTTCATTTCAGTTTGTTTGATCAAAAAATTTAAGAATAAAAATTCTAATGCTAGGCTGGATGTGGTGGTGCATTCCTATAATCCCAGTGACTTGGGAGGTGGAGGCAGGATGACTGCAAGTTTGATGCCAGCCTCAGCAACTTAGCTGTGCCCTAAACAACTTTGTGAAACCCTTTCTCAAAATTAAAAAAAATAAAAAGGGCTGGGGATGTAGCTCAGTGGTGTGCCTGGGTTAAATCCCCAGTACCAAAAACAAAAAAACAAACAAACAAACCCCCCCCCCAAAAAAAAAACAAAAATCAAAAACAAAACAAAACTAATGCTATTTTCCAATACCATTTTGTTCTCAAGTGAAAGCTGAATAAAGTCTAATGGGCATACTTTGTAATATGATTTTTGATGACTATTTTATTAATTATGAGCCTACGTTTCACCCCTGCCTTTAGGATGCAAATAAGTGAATTTAATGTAACTAAAATATCAACATAGTGGTTTGGTAGTGTTTAGACTAAGCAACAAGTATTTATTGAATTCTAATTTTTTTTTTCAGAATCACAAAGACACAATCTAATAGAAACTTGCGATAAAATGGCAGGTGTTGAAGTTACTCAATAAGTTTTGTACCATCCACAGTCCAGTTGTGCTAGAGCAGTGGATGGGTTGCCAAGAGACCAAAGAAGACACCCAGGGGTGGGATATGAGACATAAGCTTCAGTGAAAAGTGCTTATGTGGAAGATCCAGAGGCGATGGCTGGACAGGTGCACCTCTGTTTCACACAGTGCCTCTGGTGCTTCACCCGAAAATAGCATTTCCATCCCCCACAACACTTTGCTAGGAGGGGTGGATGAATGAGCACTTCCCTATCCATGGTGCTTTGGTCAACACCAGTTAGCACAGGGAATGGGGCTTTCTAGGCTAACAAAAGCAACTTCAGTTTAGCTTGCCTTTTCCCACTGGATGACCAGCATCCCAAGGACCTTGGGTTGCACAGGAGAAAGAAGCTTTGATGTGCATGGGAGAAAGCAGCTTGCTGCAGATAACACTAACTTGCCCTAATTCCCAGCATACCTGGGAGAAAGCCAGTGTCCTTCAAGATAATATGTGTCTGGACATTTCAGCCGGGATGACTCACTCTCATTGTTCTCTAGGTTCTTGGGAGTGGGGAGGGCACTTCAGGGACGCAGTAACATCCTGTCCTCCTTTTCTCCAAGGATGACAGAACATCATTTGGGACATCTACTTGTGTTGTCTGTAACTCACTGTTAGGATACCTTAATATAGACAATGACTTCATATCTGTGTACAGTATTGGTGGACAATATAAGCTGCTTACTCTTTGGAGGACCCCCACTAGGAATGCACTGTGGGAGTGGTTATGTGATGTCAGAGAGACACAAGGCAGAGACCCACATTCCCAGAAGCTAGAGCTGCTGCAACACACCAGCAGTTTTCTTAGGTTTTGCTCCATACCAGAGGTTTTCTAAATGGATATATTCTTAGAAATATATTTATGTTTAGTAGAAATGATTTATAGATAAAATTGGCAATGATAAAGGTGGTTTTGCAGAGAATATTGCCCAAGTATTCCTGTTTTTGTGCATACTGGTGTAAGGACTCACAGCCCCATGCCTGACAGCCATCAGAATGGAACTCCGGACTTTTGACTAAACCAGTAGATTCAGATTTGGAAGATTTTAGTCTTTCATTCATGGACCCATCAGAGCTCCTCAAGGGATAGAGATCTGGAACATCGTCAAGCTTACAGAAGAGTTTCTATGACAGCTTCGGTGCCTTCCTTGTATGTGTGGCAGAATTCCATCTGAGACTTACTCACATGGTGTCACCACAACTGGTAGCAAGGGTATGGGAGAAAAGCCCTAAGCCTCTCACCTCCCTCTAGTTATTGAAGATGTATAGATTGAATTAGTGCTCAAAACTACCATTCCTTGGGGCTGGGATTGTGGCTCAGTGGTAGAGCACTCGCCTAGCACGTGCAAGGCACTGGGTCTGATCCTCAGCACCACATACAAATAAATAAATAAAATAAAATAATGGTATTCTGTCCAACTACAACTAATAAAAAAATTTTAAAAAAAGCCCCAGCTACCAATCCTTGAGTTTGGGCTGATGTAGGACGTGCTTCAGTAAATGTGATGATAATGTACATGACAAGACATGCTTGAGACATGCTTGCTCAGTGAGACTCACCCTTTCCATCTAAGATCCCTACAGAAGCATGTTCTGGGCCCAGAAAGATGAGAAACAGATGGAGCATACCTGGACCCACCTGCTGCTCAGAGTCTTATGTTATATAGCAATGTATATATGCTACCAATATTTACTACCAAACCTGATGACAATGAATGCTGAAATCAGACTAGGTACCAGTGACTTTAATAAATAATGCTTTTCAAAATTCTTATAATAAATCTGGAAGGTAGGCATTACTTTCCTCAATACATATATATATATAAAGCAGTCAAAGCTAAGGGAGAGAAACAACTTGACCTAAGTTACACAATTAGAAGGCACAGGACTGGACTTAGCACCAATGCAGATTGTGAAGTCCATCTCCTTTGACTTCTACCACATTGCTCACTCTTCCTGATTTGCTTAGAGTGAGCTGAATCTTAGCTTAAGCAGTATCCATGCACACAGCAAGAAAGAAAAACACTGAATCCCACGATCCCAGTAAGGGTCATTTATGTGCACATTTGCCTATTTGACACATTCAGTGCCACCTACTATATGCCAGTGCATTATGGTATGTCCTGGGGATTTAGTGGTAAGCTTGATAGATACTGTTCCTGTCCTCGTAGGGCTTACATCTTATCATCTTATTATGGCTGTGAGATACACACACACACACACACACACTCTTCAGATTTTGTTTGTGGTAATAAAATCTTACCCTGTGAATATAAACATTAGCCTTAGACAAAGGAAATGATCTGTCTTTGCATGACTTTTAATGTGGTGACCATAACTAATTGAACACAAAGAACAACTACTTTCATAAATGCATTCAACTGCTAAGTAGATCTGAATTGTTCCTCCGTAGAGTGCGCCAGTGTATCTCAGGTCAAAGAGTTTAGGACAAATGAAATTATTCCTACTCTTCTACAGGGAAACAAAAAAGCAATGGAATATTATAATTCTTGTTAATAAACATTATTAAACCCAGGCCATCTCTGAATTTTAGAATAAAAATAATTAATCTACTGAAAGAATGGTA